GTTGGTGGTGGTAGGAGTGTCATTGTGTCGCTGCTGCTGTGGTGGCTTTCTGCTGAGTGTGTGGTGGGGTGTTTTGTGTATTGGTTTGGAGGAGGAATTAATTATCGCATGCTTTCGCGTGGGAGCGTATATCTGGTGTAGAGGCTGGTTGGTATATATGTTGGTTTGGCTGGAAGTTGGGAGTTGCGCTGGTGGTGGTGATCAACAATTCTCCGGAGTCGCTAGTGCGTGGCCTTAGGTGCTGGTCCGTGGTCTTTGCGCTGCGGTCGTTGACTGGAGCACCACTTATTGTGAAACTACTTACTCCGTAGACCCCTTTTGTAGGTCTGCCTATTTTTCATGAAATATCCATTCAGTGCATTACATCCCCAGTCTCTGATTGCACGAGCAGGGGCTCTCTTCTAGTACGATGTTGCGAATGACGTAGGAAATAGTAGTATATTCAAGTAAATCAACTAAAAACAAAGTGGTATCGTGCAACAAAACAACATAGGAAATATCTGCAAGTAACAGGGAATGACATCGAGACAAAATCAGTCCACCAGGGACGCGCATAAATCCTCATCCTAAGATCGGACATTTCAAAGAGCGTGGTAAAAACATCAACAATCGCCATTACACCATTTGACATCAACTTCAGGACATCTGAAAGCTCGAAGGATTCGACCTTTCAGACATCCAATCCATATCAAAATCTTCAATCATATCCTCCAATTCCCTCACATTCTCACTGTCTTCGGTATCATAGCTGCCCCGTCTGCTAGAGACCGGGCTCGCTATCCAGCTGGTTGGACGGTAGGGTGGCTGCCGTCTGCGACTACGCCGACGGTCGTCCACCATCGACTCATCCAAGCTGGAGCTGTTCGTAGACGAAAAAGACCGTCCGGTTGCCGGCGTGTTCGCCGATGTAGATAGAGAGGTAGCAGATCCCCCAAGCAGGCTTTCTACACTGCCCACGTCCAACGCGGCCATAAGCGCGGCCTGGAGGATCTTGTTCTGTCGTTCAAGGTGCGCGATGCGCCCTTCAAGAGCCCTGATCGTGTCGTGGTGGGAGCTTCGTGAGTCCCGAGAATAATAGGAGCTCTGAGTATGATGCGACTGTGGCGACGCCCGTCCGGAGGCACGGGTTCGGTGGCTTCCCGGCGACAGGCAGTAGTCGGAAGACCTCCTTGTCGCGCGCATCTTGTGTGAGCGGTGCTCAGTCATCGTGAGGGGTGCTGGTCTCATCCGTCGGCGTCGACTAGAAGTTGGACGGGCTTGATCCTGGCGCGCGCTTGCGCTGGTGCACTCGTCGTCGGATGATGGAATAGGAACGTCGGAGCGGCCCACGGGGTCTTGTTCCTTTCTCGCTCGCTCATGCGAAGAGGTCACGCTTCGAGTGCTACTACTCCGACGAACAGGGGCGTCCCTGGAGGCAGGGAGCATCTGCGGCTCAGAATCTCTCGCCAATACTGCACTACCTGTAAGAGGTGTGCTGCAGTAACGCCTGCCAATAGATTGGCTAATCTGGTGCCTTGACGGCTTCGAGGGCGGAGGGGAGAGTGGCGGTGGGGATGGAGGGTCCGAGGCAACTTTTCGCTGATAGCGCACGTTGCGATTCGCCGACTTTTCAGACTCAGGCCTAGGAGCGTATGCCTCCCCACGCTCCTGATCCATTGCTTCTTCGGGGTCCTTTGCACCCCGCGGGGGCTGGTAATCCTCTTCCTCCTCACGAGGTGTCTCCGACTCCTTAAGATAGAGACGGCTCGCCGACATGTCTCTCATCTTCAATGCATGAACTCGTTCGGCCCGACTCAGCCCCGCGCGTACTAAGGGAAGAGAGTTGGACATAGCCGGTGTGGCCTTGGCCGATTCATCATGCGCATTAGAGGCCTGGTTTCTCTCATCTAGCACCAGTCTTGCAAGAGGCGCAGACCTGCTAGAGGCGCTGCGACTGTGAGCACCACTCGCTGCAGTTGATTCTGGAAGAGAAGGCAGGGGTCTCATGGGTGCTGGCAAGGGAAACGCATCAATTGTGCACATTGGCAGGGACGAAGGTCGGCGAGACCCTTTCTTCTGTGAATTCTTTTCATTTGCCAAAAGCTCTTTGTCCGATTTTCCAACATCAGCGGAAGCAGATGGTATCGGCTCAGATACCTCCTGAGTACCGCAGCCTTCTTTGACTGTGGTGCTATCGGTCGGTTGAGAACTTTCTTTATTAGAATCCATGTTACTTTGCTCTGGATCGGGGCTCGCCGGGAGAGGTCTGTTGAGAGCGAGCGAGCGAGCACTGGAGATGCGCCAGGCTCCTTTACTCGAGTTGCGCGGGGGCATTGTGTCTGGGAAAAGCTTCAAAGAAGGAGTGGTTTGGCTTGTCGGTGTTGAAGAGCTACCAGACGAGCTCGTAGCAGGCTTGTTGGCAACCTCTGAGTCGATCACGAGACCTGGCGACATTGCGCCTTCATCTGTCTTGAGACAAGACTGTATAACGTTAGACTTGCATATTCCAGACGCGCAAGGAATTGTCCTACCTGGTCATTGCCTGATGCCTTTCCGTCTTTTGGCACATTATCCTCAGACGGTGTGTCGGGTCCTTGCTCTTCACTGCTGTCGACTTGGATGGTGGGGTTCGCCGCGTGGCTGGATCCGAGCGAGTGTTTCTCCTTGGATCCGGATGTGGTGTCGGCGACAGTAATAGCAACCGCAGGGTCCTGGTTCTCGCGCTGTGCATCCGCTTTGACATCCTTCGCCGGTACGGGTGGCTGGTACGGCGGGGGATTCGCGTCATCGAAGCGCGGGGGAATGGTTACCGCAGCCTCCACCAAAGATGTCAGCTCCCGTAGATCCAGCGCAGACAAATGATTTGTGCTAACCTCCGGTCTGTCCTTCTTTTCGAGTGGATCCGTGAGCCACGGCTGTCCAATGCTTTCTACATCCCGTCTAGAGTTCGCCATGAAACTGAGGTTGGAAATAGAACGGGAGGAAGACCGGCTCGAGTCCAGGCTTTTCTTGTGGGTCGACCGCTTGGAGGGTACGCCAGCAGGAACAGGAACATTCGTCGGCAAGAACCCTCCTTCCTGAAGAGCAAGCAGTTGCCGCGCTGACTCTTCGGCCTTGGACCTGGGGTCAGTACTCTTTTTCGGGCGTTGAGCGAGTTGTCGAAGCCGTCTCTGGCCGGCCTTGAGCATCTCCCGGGCTCCCGTGGATCCGGTGATGGGGCCTTGCGATTCGATGAATTTGGCGAAATCGGTTGCGTTCTCATCTCGCAGGTCGAGATGTTCGGAGGATTGGAGGGTATCCCGGGACTGCCGAGGTTCGTGTGCCAGGGACGACATGGTGTAGGCGCTTCTGGAGGTGTTCAGGGAACTCGGCCGACCAGTTGGGACAATTGGACTCGGGGCAATTAAGCTGTCATGGGAACCGTTGCTCTGCTGCATGGGACTTGCAGCTGCTCTTCAGCCGCTGGGTATTTGTGCAGGTGAACCTCCCGCCACTAGTCTAAACTGAATGTTAATGGCAACCACGGACAGTCAAGAAGTGACCCTGTCCGAGCGGTTGAAAGTGAATCCCGCGGAGGTTAATGGCCGCTTTGAGGAAGACAGTCGAGTATGATCAGATGGATGCTGAGGACATGCAGGTAATGCGGCCAGTCCACTAGCTCAAGAGGCGGGATATAGATAGACGAAAGAGTAAAAGCGGGAATAGCAGTAGCAATGATGCAATTGATGAGAGAGGCATGCATGTATGTACAGAAGAGCAGAGTAGTCAAGGTTTGGAATTGCCAACGCCGGAGCGAGCAGCAAGGTATCCGGCAGGAAAAGAAAAAGGCAGGTCGAGGGGAGAGAGGAAACCAGGATTTTATGAAGGGTTCACACGGGAATCTCGAGGAGCTGTCAGACCCTTGCTGTTGGAGTCGGGGGGGGTGTGTGCACAGCACCCTGGTAAGGTCTGACGGGCTAACGATGTCCCCTCCGTATGCGGAGTTGATGCATCGTCAAATGACGAGCCTTCCTCGTTCCCGATAGCTTGAACGATAGAGTTGGATCTAGATAGTGTAACCGGGGTCCAAGACAAGGGTGGCAGGCATTCAAGGGCCCTACAAGAACAGGTGAAAGGGGAGAGGAGGGGGCAAAGCAAGGTTGGTGGAGTCATTATTGGTTGAAACACCAAGGGAGAGGGGGGTGAAATGGAAGGGAAAGGGAAGGGAAAGGCAGAGCAGAGAAGCACTGAGCGGCCAGGATAATACTGTGAAGCACAAAAAAAAAAAGAAAAAAAAAAAAAAGAAAAGGGAAAAAAAAAAAAAAAGTTCAAAAATAAAAAAAGAATAATGATCACAAAGGAAAAGGAAAGGAATAAAATAATAATAAAAATAAAAATAAGAATAATTCGTTAAAAAGGAAAATATGACGAGCAGGATCCAAAAAGAACCCAGAAAAAGAAAGAAACGTTAGAGAAGAGCAACGATCGAGTCCGTGCCAGGCGCTCTCGATCGGGGGAAGGAGGCCGATGATGGCGTCGAATGACAAGAAGAAAGAAGGCCAGCGAGCGACTATTTGCTCGGCTGAGCAGCTCCTCCTCCTGTCAAGTCGATGATAGTCAGTCAGTCAATCAAGCGTCTGTCCGCCGCGCGCATTGCAGGGCGCGCGCATCGCGGATTTTCGTCATCCATGCTCCTGGGATCGTCCAGGCTGCACTTCGTTAGCCCGAGGCACTAGCCTCGAGAGGAGCTGCTTTAGTTGCATTTAGCTACTTTAGCTCGGTAGTTCAGTTGGATAGATACTAGATACTTGAATAGCCAGCCAGTTAGTTTGGGGATTTTCTGTTGGTCCAGCTGCATGGAACCGGAGCTGCATTGAGTCAGGACAAGCTGATCCCTGTCAGACCAACGAATTGAATCGTTCATTCTCTTCTTGGGATTCACTTAGTACGTAGGTAGTAGTGGAGTCACTGGGATTTGCTGTCGGACTGGGCGTGAAGAGGAGAGAGCGAGAAAGCAACAGAGAGAGAGCCAGTCTAGCGGGCTGTCGGATCGGCATTCAGCTTCCAGTCTCGTGTGACGTTGAAACTTGTCGCCGACTCCTATCTTCAGCGGTTGCCAACCAGTTTATTCCTGCGAACCGTTACAAGTAAGGGATATGTGATGGGGATTGGCGGAGGGGGGAAGAGGATGAGGAGGAGGAAGAGGAGGAGGATGAGGGGAGGGGGAAAGAGAGAGGGCCCTAGCTCACTCACACTCTCACTCTCTCACACACATACTCAATCTCACACCCTCTCTCACTCTCTTTCACTTCTCCACCTCCTCCTTGGGGGGCAAAGAGGGGAGGGGGGTGGAGAGAGAAGGAGTAGCAGGAGAAGGAGGTCCTTGTCCCGAAAGGCAGTTAACGGTTGGCGAGAACAATCCCGAGGAAGCAAAGAGGGATGGGAATGTGAGGTATCATCTGTGGATCATCGGCAACCGTAAGGCATGGACCAAATTTAGGGAGTCAAATGGAAGAAGAAATGTGACAGATGCACAGACAAGATTAGCCAAAGAAGTGGGGATTGGCAAGTCAAAAAAAAAAAAAAAAAAAAAAAAAAAAAAAAAGTTGATGCCGAACAAACCAAACAACACACTACGAGAGTGGATTAGTTCTCTTCACTAGTTCAACTTTTAGCCACCTTCAAACTACACTAAGTAGTCTACTGTAGATTAGTTAGTAGTAGTGATGCCACACCTAAACGATCAATCAATCCATCTATCTATCTCTTCTGTTTTCTCTATCTACTAGATAGATACCTATGTGTCCATCCCGTTTCTAAACTAAAAACTTCTTCGGGATCTATATACTAGTATAGTACCCCGTAGTTAATTAGAAAGGGTTACACATCACATCGGGAACATGGCTTGAAATAGGTATTCTGGATCCTCCCAATTTCCCTTCCTGCCCCCTCAAACTAATGATAGAAATAAAATAAAACAAAATTAAAGGAAATATTCATCAGTCTCCACCAACGCTCTTGCGATCATCACTTCCTCCATCATCGATCAACCTTCACATTTCCTCAGATTATACGAACAAGTTCGCGTAGGACAACATGAACGCCCTTGCCGGTCAATCCCAGCAATTTGGGTCGATCATTACGAGGGAAATGCCCACCCCGGAGAGATTCCTGAGATTGCTTATTAGTACCGTCGGGCAGTGAGGCACCACTGATCAATAAATCGAAAGTAACGGTGTAAATCACCACCACAAAACTGAACCTTCTCGACTTCTCCCCTTCCCGTCCAGAAATAACACTGGTAGGTATGTAGGTCGGTAGATAGGTAGGTAACTATACCTAGCGAGATAACTACTAGACTAGCTGGCTGGCTGGCTGGCTAGCTAAGCTCGGGGAATCAATCAATGGAAAAGCAATCAATCGATCAATCGATCAATCAATGTCTTCCGGGCTTCACTACTACCCTTACCACTATTCCTACCACTACTACTACTTAGTACTACTATCCACGCAAGTAACCAAAATAACTAACCAATTGGGACAGGGAATGGAAGTTTAAGAGTAGTTATATTTCTTTCTTAACCAACTTCCCGATGAATGAAATAGTGTTCACGACTATCGACGGCATAGACGAGCTGCCAAACAAAGAATTTGAGAGCCGCCGGGGCCGGAATAAGCACCACCAAGTTCTGTATGTATGTATGTACTTAGGTTTTCTTTCCATCCGGTGACCCTGGCATCTTCCACCCCCCCGCCCCTATAATCTCTCTCTGTCTCTTTCTCTTCCTCTCCTTTCCAGCCAAACAAAGTGGGCCGCGCAGCGAATGGTTCGTGTTCAGGGACGGCATGTTTGCTTTCTGTGCTCCACATCCCATCCGTTTTCACCCTATGCCCCGACTAGCAGTACATGTAGATGCAGACGCAGACAGAGCTAGTGTGTTGTTAGGGGAGAAGAAAGAAAGTAAGAAAAAGAAGACCGGACGCGGGAGAACGAACTGCATGAGGACCAAAGTGGAAAGAAAAGGGAACTGGAAGAGAAGATCCAAACTAGTGGCTCTGCCTTGCAGCAGATAGTTCATGCAAACGCTCGTCCTCCAGGAACCACTGGTCCTTCATTCGCGACCCTCACGATGACCTGCTGAACGACACCGTCCGTGTGTTGTCCGAAGAGAAAATTCTCCGATCGCACAGCCGCAAGGTGGGACTCCTGCATGCTGCTTGCTGCCTTTCCCATGTTGCATCTGCGTCCACTCTGGACACTACTCTCCCATCATGTCCTACTTACTCTACTGGGTCTAGTCGTAGGGGTAGTAATAGTGGAGGATGGCGGGAGATGACTACACGGTAAGCTACAGTTCTTAGAAAGCTGCATGTCGGTTCATCTCGCCAGGCGAGAGCCGATCTTGATGATGGCCCACCTGCTAGGCAACTCACACGACCCCGGTCCTTCTCATCCCGTCCAAGCTCGGCTCTGACAGACGAGTTGACAGAATTGATCTACGGACAGACAGCTGAATATGCGACTGGTCCCCATGTGCGTGCCGCGTCCCCGGGGATCTCTTCGGACCCGTCGTGAATGTCTACAAGATAGGGAAAGATTCGGAGTTGCAATCGCAACCGAAGGCTCCATCGGTCCAGTCGGCTTACGAGTGATCCGTCGTCATCGCCCTAGGGTGCCTTGGTGCTGGTCCGAGGGAGAGAACAAGAACCCCCCTGAAGACAGGGCATCGGATTAAATTCCAATCCATGTTCCACAATCTTCTACCCACAGCCATGCAAGATGGCTATCCCGAAGATGACAATATAGAAGCAGAAGGATGATGGTCGGGTTTTCTCCGATCAGCCTGATCGTCGTCAAGGGCACCTGCAACTGTTGCCTGTCAGCTCACATTGATACGTGCTCCTACCCTTGACAAGCAAATAGTCCATGCCCATCACTGGGCATAGGCCTCCCATCTGCCAAAGACCAACGTCAACATCGACCTCATCTATCCTGAAAGGGGGTAAGAAGCAGAAATGAAAATGCCAAAGCCGGGGGCCATTCACGTCTAAGGGTATGTTTGGACAAGCACACTCTGTCAGCCTTTTCCCGCCATCGCTTGTCCTCTGCAGAAGGAAAATAAGACAAAGTAGAACAGAAATTCGACAAACCCCATGTCAAAACAAAAACGCCACCGAAACTCTGGCCTTCTTCGAGATATTCCAGAATTCCATATGCTCACGAGCCTTCATACCTTATCCCTAAGTAGGAAAAAGAAAAACATGAAAAAGTGTACATGATTGAAGCGCGACATCCAAGCAAGACGGGCCGAATGCATATACAGAATCAAACAGACATGGAGAAAAGACACTGAAAACCCGCCATGCTCGCTCATATGCATGCAAGTAAAGGACCAACATGTCATACTGTCGGTCATTAGACCCATGGAATGTGTGATAGGTCTCCCAAAAGAAAAAGTAAAGAAGAGAAGAGAAGAGAAGAGAAAAGAAAATATAGCGAGGATGAATATGCCAAACTGCCATGAGGCATCGCATTATCTATCTCCGCTTTGGCCTAATGAATGGATCGGCTTCCTTCTTTTTCCGCATCGGGGGAGGTCGAGCGCCATTCCCGGGTCTTGGTGGTCCAGAACGTGGGGGTGCCTACAGGCAAAATCAAATTAGCAAACAGTGTGTCATATGCTCATATGGAGACCAAGCATACGTTTGCGGGGCCCGCTCCTGGTTGAGGACCGTTGATAGGTTTGCCTTTGTCAAGAGGACCATACGCTGGGCCATCCCGAGATGGTCTTACCAATCCCTACAGAAGTGGTTAGTTGTTATCGCAAGCAAGTGTACAGGTTACTCTTACCTCTGTATTGGATGGAATGTTAGCATCAATCTTGCCACGTCGCGGACCCTTGGGAGCCTCGGGCGGAGGAGCATTTGCTTTGTCAGTCCGCGGCCGCGAGGCCTTCGAAGCATTTGTCGGTGGCGAGTCGTTACGTTTCCTCTTTGCTGGGCCACTGTTATCATCACTCGGCGTAGCTTGGACAACAGGCACCTTGGGGTCATGGCCTCCGAGTTGCCTTTGTCGTTGGCGCTCCGTTCTTTGCTTCTGGTTCTGTACGTAATAGGACTCCTCCCGCGCAATTTTGGATCTCTCATGTTTCGGTAGAGTCTTAGTGGATCGGCACTCGCGTGAGACATGTCCAAACTGTCCGCATTCCACACATCGCGGAGCAGTACAATGGAAGCGTGTGTGCCCAGTTTCCCCACATCTGTGGCAGGTACCCCTGGTTGCCTCTTTTGCGTCAATATTGTCGCAGTTATGTGTCATGTGAGCGAAACTTCCACAATATCCGCACGTGCGGGTCTCATCCAGGCCATTTCCGCCTCCAGACGGGCCATCGGGAGGCACCGGAGGAGTTTCTTGTTCAGAAACAGACACTGATGGGGAGTTACGCGCAGATGCTGACGAAGGTCGTGAGACAGGTGCAGTCGAGGGCTGCATCGGCTGCACCACCGAAGCCGTAGTCTGTGCATCCAGCATGTCGACGTTCTGATACCCAGTGAACTGTGGCCGCTGGAGGATCTTGAGTACATCACCATCCGTATATACGTTCCTTCGGCGTGCGTCTTTAATTAAACCGTTCCAAAACTCGCCTTGGACAAGCGCCTGAGAATTTCCCAGAACCCAAAGAGACGACTTGGCACGTGTGAGACCGACGTTCATACGACGGATGTCGGCCAAGAAACCTATGCCTTTATTGGAGGCTCGCACACAAGAAAAGATAATAACTTCGCTTTCTCTACCCTGGAAAGCATCCGTTGTGTTGAAGTCGATTTTGTTGAAGATCTCGTTGCCATATCTGGCAGCGAACTGTGTCTTGAGTTCTCTCAGTTGGCCCTTATATGGCGTAATGATACCGATCTTCCGATCGAAATTGAAGGCACGGAAATCTGTCACCAAGCGTTCATACAGCTGCATAGCCACCCTAAGTTCTGCTATGTTGATCAACGAGTGTCCCTTTGCAGCACTCTGGTGAAGACCTTGCACGTCGAAAAATCGGTAAGGGCTGAGAAGTTCACTTTGATGCCAAGGCCGAACGCGAAGTTGAGCCATATTAGGACCATCTTGTAGTCGGCCATCGTAGAACGCAGAACTAGGGAATGCACTGATTTCTGGATGCATACGGTATTGGATATCCAGCAAGTGCACATCCCTCGGGTGGTTGGCTTGCATTCTGACGAACAGACTTTGCTCGTATTGAAACTTCGAGGCGACCTTTGACAAGACAGTTGGCGGTAATTGCTTGGGATCACCAACGAGAATACATTTAGAACAACCGTACTTCAACGGGATCAACGCACTCAATTCAATCGACTGTGCCGCTTCATCAATCACAACGGTTTCGAACTCGATGCTAAGATTTTGGAACATTTCGTGGCCACTTCCGCTCAGCGTCGCACATATAACATGAGCGCCATCGATGATCTCCTGCTGGATGCGTCGCCTATTTAGTTCAGCGTCTCGGGCTGCCGAGTGGTTCTTATCTCTGGCGCTATCAATCTCCTGGCTCA